TTCTACAAAAAACTGATGACGTCAGCTCAAAAGTTTTCCGAATAAATCGCATCTAAAATGTACAAAATATGATGAGTCTGTACTTGTGATTTATCATTCCATTCATATTTTTGGATTTGCATATGCAGGGTGACTGAAAAAAATTAATGAAGGCGTGAATTTATTTTATCGATTTAATCAGGAATTACAAAACCGAATGCTTTGAAATCTTGGGAATATTTTAAAGTTATTATAAGCATGGTAAACTTTTGTTCAAAATGTATTTGTTCATCCCTCCTAAAAAAATTGATGACGTCACCCTTAAATTTTGCTGAATAAATCCTATCTAAAATGCAAAAAATATGATGAGTTTGTACTTGTGATTTATCATTCCATTCATATTTTTTAGATTTTCTTAAGAGGTGGTTCAAAAAAATTAATGAAGTCAATTTATTTTATTGATTAAATTAAAGGCAACACTTATTATTAGTATTACACCCCAACCAACCCAATTTGGTAGACACAAAATTTGTTAAAGGAAAAACTCGGTTGAAACATAAGGGTAGCACGCTTATTTACATCGACTTTAACGTTACAGATCTGCATTTGTTTTATGCGGTCACTTGGTTCCGCGAATGCGAAATAGACATGTTTATAATCAACCAATTGTGAATTTCACCGTCAAGAATTAAAATAAAACCCAATGTTTTATATAATAAGCGGAAGTCGAAGCAATAAAACCGACGGTCGTTTTGTTTACAGTTTCTGTGTTTGGCTCTCACGTATGCTGTTACGCCTGTCATCTTAAATTAACAATTTTTATACATACACGATTTTTAGTTGCCTCTGATACGTAGGTATACGTGAGTAAATTGTTTCGTTATTTTATTGATTATTACAAATCAATATTCAAACGACCCAATTCATTTTCCCGAAAATTTGAGAATATAATAATTTTATTCTTAGTATTACACTACATCTATCCCAACTGATATACGTGTCCTTGCAAAAATGTTGATGACGTCATCGCATTTTTTTTTTTAAATTCCCACTACAAAAATGTAATGAGAAAAAAAACACAATAGGCATGCAGTCGTCAAGTTTCCGACAGCGAGGGAAGTACTGTCTAAACTCTTTAGACCAATTTTTTTCTAATATGCTTCATTTGAAAGTTGTGAACTAAACATATGAATTTAATAAAACAAATTAAACTACTTGTTTTTTCTATTTATGCTACCATAATAAATGAATAAACCCAATTTTAAAAAAGTAACGACTTAAATTATTATTATAAGTTAGGTCAAACTTTAACATGATCTTGTATGCACAACACAGAGATGTACCTAATAGAATGATTTTGGACTATTTGGTATTCATGAATTACCTCTGTGAACATATGAGCCAGTCGTCGTTGCCTTATGAGTATGCTGATGAGTCACTGATAAGTAAAAACTGCTGACGTAACTAAAAATATCCTTGGCCTTATGTACTTTTAATTTCCCAAAGTCAAAAACAAAATTTCATAATATAATTTATTAAAAAATTAATAATAATATATAATATAATTTATTAAATCTTTGAGTGATTTAAACGAACTAATTTGTACACACCAGACAGTTTTAATTTCAAAATTAAAATAGACCATAAGGTTTTCTGACTGAATGTGCAAAAAATCTAAAATATTGCATATGTCCACTTTTAGAACAAACATTTGACCCAAGAAAGTGTAAAATTCGAACGTATACTTACTCTATTGATTTAGACATCTTAAACCTCGAGTTCAGAGTAGCGTTCTTTTTGTAAGTAAAATCAGATTTTTTTCTTAAACATTTCAGTTTGTTGCTTAGCAGCACAATACATTTTATTTATTTATTTTTATCGTCGAAAGGGAAAGCACTTCAGCTTACCTAGTCACCGTACGTTAGTAAACACTTGGTAAAAAAAGGTTTAAATTCAACATCATTATCGGCAAAACAAAAAAGTCAAGTTAAAAAAAAAAATAACAATCGCCCTGTAGTACATTATGTAAACAAATTTTGAGGAAATCAAAAGGAAATCATAGGAAATCAAGAAGAAATCACAGGAAATCATAGGAAATCAAGAGGAAATCGCAGGAAATCAAAGGAAATCACAGGAAATCAAAGGAAATCAGAGGAAATCAAAAGAAATCGGGGGAAATCAACAGAAAATCATTGTCAAAAGGAAATCAATTGTACACTTGATGGTCGGCGGTTTACCCCTCGGATGGGCATGAGTCGGATTGCCACAGAATTTCAAGCCCTCAGCATATAAGGAGGATTTAGTAGTGAGAAGTGATGAGAGGTGAGAGACAAATATCGGGAATAGGATGGGACCCAGTACTGATCCCCGTGGAACCCCACTTACAGCTGATTTAGTAAAAGATAACGTATTTCCTACTTTCACTTGAAAAGATCTGTTCTTTAGATAGATAGAGAGCCAGAGGTGAAGATCGCCATTGATCCCAAAGTGCTTAAGTTTGATAAGAAGTCTTTCATGTTTGACCTGGTCGAAAGCTTTGGCGAAGTCTACAGAGTCATCAAAATTGATTGAGAGAGTTGGTACTCCATGTTTTTGTCGTGAAGTTTGTCAACCTTATGACAGATTTGTTTAAGGTTATATGGCAATGAATTCAGTGGCGTGACAAGAGAACTGGGAGTTGATTGTCGAACTCACCTGTCTCAGTTGCGAATACGAAAGTTACCTTCTTGCAAAGTTGCGAACGGTTTTAACGTTTGTACGAATCACCTTCGTCGATGCGCACTCTATTGCTACTTGCATCTTTGAGAACAAATTCCAGAAATGAACGGATCTAAAATTCGAAACTTCAAATCTGACAATCTGACAACTAATATTTTTTACCAAAAAAAAAATCGAAAAAGGACGCCACTGAGTTTTGAAATTTGAAACTTGAAACTACAAATCTGACAGCTAATATTTTTATGCAACGTAATAAATCAAATTATTCAAGTTCAGGTTTACCAACTCTCTCAATCAATTTTGATGACTTTGTATATGTATGATGTCTACAGGATCGTGATTTTCAAGTGATAAAGTACAGTTATTAACACATGGTAGTAGATTGGTGGAAATCGATCTTCCAGGGGCCATGTTGGTTAGGGGAAATAATATTATTTCGAAGTAGGAAAAGTGTGAGTTGCTTAGCTATAATGTGCTCCATAATTTTCGATACCACGCTTAATAGGCTGATTGGACGGTAGTTATTGGGGTCCCATCTATTTCCCTTCTTAAAGATCGGGACCACTAGTGCTTTCAACCAGATTTCAGGGAGAGCACAAGTTTGAAATGAGTTTTGCATCAACATGGTTAGGGGAAAAGCGAGGGAGCGAGCGCAACGTTTCAATAGACAAGGAGATATACCATCAATTCATAAATAATTTGGAAATTAAGGAACAGATATTAGTGTAGCAAATAAAAAAATCCGTAAATATTAGATTTAAGCCTTGTTTTTTTGGAGGACAAAAATGGTTTTTCCTTTTGGAAGACAAAAATGCAAAAGAAACCCATGAAAGTATTTTTCTTACATTTGGCGATTTATATTCTTCTTGTGGGTAGTTTTTTGTTTAAAATCTGGTTTGATCAGGGTAGTTCTTAGCTATACTGGATCATAATTTCTTCATCATTGCCAGATTATCAGGTTAAAACACTCATAATACAGTCAGTGCAGGAATTAGCTGGGTTTGCGTGAAAGTAGGAAAAGGCCGTCGACTCTTTAATTTTTTGGGGGCTGTCATAAAGTTATTTGACGAGAAAATCACAAACCCTAGTTCGTTAGAACAAAATTCGCAAATTTGCAAATCTGAGTGACACAACACGCATGTTCAAATTTGCCTACAGTACCATCCAAACAGATAATCGAAATTGTCCCTCAGTTCTCAAACGTAAGAACAAAATTCGCATATTTGCAAAAATTAAATACCATTGCGCTTGTTAGACATTGCAAACAACATGCGCAGAACCGCACATCCACAAAGATCGCCAATCCCAATTACTTTCAATAAAATCCGTATCCAAACTAAAACAATAGCAGGTGAAACCTAGACACATAAATCTCAAGAAACAACGAAACAAAGAACACCGACTTTACTAACCAAGATGACTCAGAATGACGCAATTAAGATGACAACATGTGAACAGGGTGATGCTAGGTGAAAAAGTTGAAAAAGTTAACCTAACCCAAACTCGTGTAAATCCGTCGATCTAACGACCAAGAAGAAATTCTACTCTGGTCGAAACTGGATCTTAAAAAATTGTATATTAGACCTTTTACTACACACTAGTGCCGAGAGAGACGTAATAACATTTTCCAACTTGAATCGCTGTCCGAATTTCTTCTGAATTTTGAAGAAAGCTGAACTGAAAGTTTCTTGAAATCGGGAAGAAGACTGGACTTGGAAAAATTTCCACTTTGTTTCTGTGTTAAGTTTATTTGCAGTCATGCTTGACTTTATCTTTTCTCTCATGCTGCAACCCTAATATATTTTTGGCCGTATTAGGTGTTTAATTTATGCATTTTTGTCTATGTTTTTCTATACTAAGCTCTATACTGAGCTAAAGCATATTCCAGCATAGGGAAATACATATAAACTTCTGTTGTATATTTTTTTGTTTAACTAATGTTATCGTACATGTGTGCTGAATACGCTTGTTTAGTTTTGTAATGTGTATGTGTATCATAATGATAGTTCGCATTTTAACAACATTAAGATAAACTTTACCAAAATGATAATACATGCTGTCTCAGACATTTCTGCACCTAACAACAACACTTTAAGTTTCAGGATTTCAAACATGTAACACACATTTTTTTAAGAATTCCATACGTAGATACATACGGTTGGCTATTTCTGCACTTAAAAGCATTATGCTGTAACAATATTTAGCCGTAGCAGAAACATTATATTTTATTTACGACCTTGAGACATATAACTGTCCTCAGCAATAAAGCAAAACCTTTGAACTATATTTCTTGATAAAAATTATATAAATAATCGAGGATGTCAAACTATTTCAATGTGTACGGTGAAGAATTCAAGATGCAGAGTTTGTTACAAAAGACTGTTGTATTGACTTTTCTGTTTACATCAGGTTAGATTAATATATTATACAGCTATATGTATCCTTCAAGGTTAAAGATCGTTTTTGGCCATAATTTTTTAGAATCATGTTATTTTGTTATGCGAGTAATATTTTATAATTAAAATTCAATAAAAATGTGATCCAAATCCAAATGAGATACCCAGCAAAGATAGGCAAGACAGCCGTTCATCCAGCACCCGCTAGAGGACGATTTTTAAATATTACAGACAGTTTCTCTTGCAGTTGTTGCAGACCCCCAAAATGTTATATCTGACGCCTGCTTAACATGTATTTGTCAAGCATCTCTTTCTTGCGACACTGATAGTCCATTTGTGATTAGTCATCCCTATTGGTCGGAAGCTGGCAAACTTACTGTTGGTGAACACCCTCCTGACACACCCGAAGCTTTTAATGCATGTGCGTCTAATCTTGATTGCTCAGTTCGAACAGTACGAAATTTTATCAGTAAACACCAAAAGGTGGGTATAACCGCATTTTTTTTAGTTGTTAATTTACATCATTTTCACAGGACTGCAATAACGACACTGTCATCGACTGCGATGATTTTGCTGCAATATATTATCAGGGAGTTTCTGATTGCCAGAAAGGTGTTCCTAGTTATTTAAGGAGGAATTACAGGGAATGCAAGGATATATTAAAAAAATATCATCGAATTGTGAACCTTGGCCAGAAACATTAAAGATTGTGCGGATTGAAATGCATCTTTAGATTTAGAAACTGTAGGAAGAGATTAGTATTATATCTTTCAACTGGTTTTTAATTAGAATAATTTGCGCTTACATTGTCCCACCAAGAGCTTCTTATTCATAAAACAACAATAAAAAAGTAAAGAAAAGTGATGTTTTCTAGTAAGTGTAAAGGGAGTTGTGACCAGTTACTGAATTTGCATTGTTCCAATCATCCTGGCAGTGGTCCCAATATTTATGTGTCACAAAATATTACGCTGATTTCTAATTCACTATTTGAATTAGAAATCAGTTCTTGTGCTGTAAACGCAGTTTTGAAAAACGAATTAATGTTAAAATTGTAATTATCTAAAATAATTTACATTTTTGTTAAAAAATGTGGTGATTTTTTATAAAAATTTATTGTCGTCCCAATATTTAGTTGTTAGGGCTCGTACAATTTAACATAATTCTGTTCATGGTAACTATCTAGTACCAAATTGAAAATTTTGAAACCAATCAGAACTCGGGGCATGTATATAAATAATAATTTTTAAAATGCCCAAATTAGCATTACCGTTGTCCACTATTTTTTCCTATTTTTGTTCTTAAGAAGATTATATGTGAATTTCTATTGTGGTAAATTTTTATTTTTTGGCATTAGCCATAATTAAATACTCCTAGTAAGTTACAAAGTAATAAATAATATGATCAGATAGTGTCTGTAGCCGATGTCGGTACTCTTCCCAGGTAGATAGACGAAAAGGGCCGATACATCCCACCTGCGGTACTTCTCCTCCAGCTTCTACCTGTGTTCCATTTTTAAGAGACTTATTATTATGAAAATTTAAATATAAGCCGTTCACAATTTTCTTTACCTAAACTAATGGAAGTTTTTTAAAAATAGTTTATCATCATCTTGAAACAGAAGCCATGTTTGTGGCAAAGAAGCTCCTTTAACCGTATCTCATTTCCAACAAAAAAGTTGACCATGTTACCGGTAGTATTTATGAAATTTTTTGTCAACCTGTAAAGTTAGCGGTTCAAAAATTAGAAGGTGATGGATCGTCTTTGATTAAGTATTGTTCAAAAAAATTACTTTTAAGTTTGTATAAAATTTAAGCTGATATAGTGTGTTTCAAAGAAATGATAATGAGTTATAGGTAATTAACACAAAATAACAGTACTTAGAGATTCGCTAACACAATTGTTTCAAAATCTGATGCTAACAAGAAAACAACTTTGCGTTCAGAAAGATCATAAAACAATTATTGGCGATTAGGACTATTCTTAAATATTTCTTTTCTGGTGGACCAAAATTGAGGACCAGGTCTGCAGGGGTCGTTAAGCCGATCCATAAATTGCGAACCAAATGAAGGATTAGTACCTTAAACCGTGGGGGTCGCAGACGGGTACATTTGGTATAGTAGCTGTCACAATAAGCTGAACGCTTCAAGCGCTCAATAAACCCCTAACCACAGCTTATAGATGTCATAAATTTGGGCCGAATGCCGCGTACCATTCAGTTAGTATTTAAATAAGAGACATGCTGTGCCCAAACAATGGAGAGTAATAAAAATTACAACTATCCTAGTTAGTTCAATGAGTGGCAGCACGACTGCGCCCCAGGCAGCATTCGGTTCAATTTGACGGCCAGAATATCTAACTAAGGAAAGTACCGACATCGGCTATAGGCAGTATCTGATGATATTAGTTATTTATTACTTTCTAACTTACTAGGAGTATTTAATTTTATCGCTAATGCTAAAAAATAAAAGGCCCGTTATGAAATGGTTTATAAACAATTTCAATCATGATGTGGAGTCATTACGTTGAAATCAACGATGAATATAAGACACAATGTCAACATTGGTAATTTTTCGAAATTAGTCTCCTTTTTAAAACGGAAGAACGATGGTTACAAAGCTAAAAAATCACGAGTGTTTTTCAAAGAAGAGTTTTATAAATTTCTGCAAGAAGCTGAGGATAGTAAATACTTGATGATGAAGGTACGTTTTGACAATATATTGCGTGCATTTGAAAAACGTGCATTTATTGGTAGCTTTCATTTTCGGCGTTGCCGGTGCCTTGCGAAGAGCAGAATTGACTAACATGTCCATGGATGATATCGAAGATAGAAGCGCTTTTCTAGTAATTAGGGTCCCAGACACGATAACTAAAATTTGACGAACATTTACAATTGTTTCTGGAGATACAGAAGTGATCAACTTACTGGATGTTTAGGGAAAATATGCACTTCTTCGACCTCCACACACTGACCATAAGCGTTTCTTCGTAAACTACAGACATGAAAGGTGTTCAACACAAGTGGTTGGTATTAAGACCATAGGTAAAATACCGTCTTTGATAACCGAATAACCTGATCTAAAAAATCCTGCAGAATAGACAGCTAACCAAATTCTTGGAGAAGGCCATCGTATAATTAACATGTCAGAAGTTAATGCAGGAGGTTGCAGTGGAAATATTGTTGTCACATAGGATTATTGGTAAATCTCCAGCAATACAAATTTCGAATTGTTCAAATTGTGTATTCACATTTAGTTCTCTGTAAATTGTAAGTTTTGTTACGAGTAAAAATATGTTAAAAAAGCATTATGAATGTCTTTTATTAAAAAAATAGCGAAAATTTTGCGACTGAAAAAGATGCGCACGTGTGCCTGATGAAAACCAAACGCACGCTGTGCGTAATCAACGGATTTCGGCAGATCATTTGTTGTCGGTAATCACTAAGTAACAAAACGCTTGTAGAAAAACAAGACTACGATTCTAAAATAGAATAAATTGTAATTAAGTACAAGTACAAATACAAATCATTTCCCAGTAGAAGCTGAAAGATGGTAAGTTCTTGATTTTTGTGTACCTTCGCAGGTAAAAGATGTCCGAAAGGGTTTAAAAGATTACTGGTGCTCAATTTATGTATACCTTTCTTTTCTTAGTTGAACACAGTAGGTACGATTAGGACGATTAGACGAGAAAGGGTTCATCCAGTTTATGATGTACACTTGTTAGAAGGCTGATACCTCTACTAATGAGGTTGTCTTTGAAAATTGGGTATAAAAGGCTGTAAACTGGCCACATTATTTCAGTTCGAGTTGAAGAGAGGAGCCGTAAAGATGTAAGTAGAAAAATTCTTGCCAGGATATACATTTATACCAAGTCCGTATTATTCAACATATATGCTTTCTTTCAGGACGTTGATACCAGACGACCTCAAACGACAAATCCTACGGGAACTTACACGCGACTTATATGAAAATTGGGCATTGGACATCCGGAACTTCGAGCGAATCAGTATGACTTTAATCGAGTCCCAGGAGAGGATTACCGACTTCTTCCACTGGTGGCGGCATCTACACCCTGAGGGGCAGATATATGATGTTTATCTAAGCTGGGAAAGCCCCTCCAGACTTCGTCTCGAAGTGCAGTTTGTGAAGACAATAGCAATGAAATGAAATAATGTGATGACAAAACTTGAGTCTTTGACTTAGATGTTTGTATTTTTTTAATGCTAAATTTTCTAATAAATAATTTCTAGTCGAATAGTGAGTAAAATTAATTAAAAACGTCGAAAAATTTGTTAAAGGAATTATGCTTTTCATTAAAGTTAGCAGAATCATATTACTTCACAGAGGGGGAAGTTGTGTTTTGTTATATTTGGACACCAAGGTATGTTCTGGATTTTCGGATTTCTTGGATGGCACGTTTTGCTAAGATGCTTTAATTCGAATTTAACACTTTTAAACAGTGTTATGGTGTTTCTACACCATATTCTCTATTCTAGCACCAACCTTTGTAAGAGTTGTCTAACGATATTCCGTTATAATGGCTCTGACTTTCTAAGTGGTAACCATAAACATACAATACAACTTTCTAACCAGCCCATGCTATAACTCCCTTTTCATACCAACCTAGCTTCAGAAATATAGTGTAGATTTATTGTGTTGGGATAAAGTATGTTGAAATGGTTCATAATAAAAATTGCCAACAGCATTTGGTTGTGATGACAGTGAATACTAATTTGGTACGCCATCGGTAGGTATCTATGTGGTCAAATACATTTAGTGCACTAATGTGTTCTATTATTATTAATAATATTATGCTAATGATGGTCAACAGGCATTAGCCTAATTACTGACCAACTAAGCAAAATAAATGACACAACAACTGAACCCACGAAGGCAAAGTTAAACAAACTGAATGTGTACCTACCTATACAAAGACAAAACCAGTTTATTTAAATATATCAAATGCATTCTGTTCCGAATTATATAACGCATACATCTCGTATATAGGTGAGTGTTTTACAACGTTTAAGCGCGAAGTAGGCAAAGAGAGGCAATCATGAGAACGAGATGACAATCTGGGGACAAGCAAAATGAATCAACTTTTTTAGAAAATTCAACGATGCAATAGTCCGTCTACAATGTAAATCTCTAAACCCAAACTTATTTAAAAGAGTAATATGGGACGAACCCCAAAATTCGCACATGGATAAAACATCACTTTTTACAGGCCGCAGAGTCATTAAATGTTTGTTAGTGGTACAATTTGTTTAAATAATAATGTATTTATTAAAATCAGAATATACCACAAATTAATGCAAAATACCTCGAATAATCAAAGTCACTGAAACTACTAGCACATCTTAATATAAAACCGAGTGATTTGAGAGCATTGGCACAAGTCGCAATTGACTCCCAAATCACAAAAAGAATCAACTCTAGTCAAAATAGTGTTATTGAGATTATAAGGATACAAGGTTCGGGTATTTTTGTAAGTAAATGATATAATAAAGCATTTGTCAAAATTTAACGGGATGAAGTTAGAATTGCTCCAACATAGACATTTGTGCAGATCATCTTGTAACATCCGGCAGTCATTAATACTCGAAACAGTTCTAAAAATTTTTAAATCATCCGCGTACATGAGAATGTTTGAACTAATACTCTTTGCGATGTCATTTATATATCTCACAAACAAAAGAGGTCCAAGAACCGAACCCTGATGTACTCCAGACAAGACAATAATACTATCTGACACATGACCATTATATTTAACGCACTGAGTTATCTATCCTATTGGATAAATACGATTTTAACAATGTAAGTAATGAAGTAGAAAACCCAAAAGTACTTAATTTAACCAGCAA